TGCAAAACAAATCACAAACATGGTTGAAATCGACTACCGGCAATTTTGGTTTCCATCAAAGAGTGTAGTCTCTGATCATTCACTTTGTCCGACAAAGGAGCTGATCTTGTAACTATGATCACCCACTCGAGTGAATTGTCAGATTGCCCCAACATACCTAGGTTTTGACCCCCGAAGGATCTCACTGATTGGTATATCAAAGACAACCTAATCCGACACCCAGTGCAGTACCATAATCGAGTCTAGGGGTCAGGTGTAACTTTCCAGTTTAGTCCACCAGTCTCCAAGGTCTAGGGCATAATTGGAAAATGGTTCGGGTTCGGTGTTTCAAGCAAATACACACTACATGTGCTTCGGGTCTAACCCTAGAAGCTGAGACAAATTACCCCAACCGACTTGGTAGCACATTAGTGACAGTTTTGGTAAGATAAACCTCCCCAAGTTTATCCAACGACTGAGAACATTTTAAACTAACAGGAGTCTCATAAGTGTCTAGTTTAAGGGTAATTACACAGAAACACGCCAAGTACAATATGAATCAATTATGTACTTTTATTCATTTACAATAAATGTTCAATGTACATCAATCTAATTGGAGCTAAGGGCATACACCGTCTAACAACATGTTCTTACAAGATTTTTGGGGGATGTTGTTCTCACTGTAACCTACCTAATTAACCGTATGCAATCCGGAGTGTTGGGTTTTAAGTCTCCTTTTACTCTTCTTCATCCGGGTAGGGACCTTTCTCCTATTCCACTTCATGTCTTTGGTTGTACTTGTTATGTACACATTCCAAGTACCCAGAGACATAAATTTGAACCAAAAGCCTACAAGTGCATATTCCTTGGTTATGCCTCCACATAGAAGGGTTATTGCTGTTTTCATCCAAAATTTGGCACAGTTGTTTGCGCTCTCTCTTCCTGTCCTAGTTGAATATTCTTTTGAGCCTCTTTCTATTACCAATGAGTCAAGGGAGGAACAGTCATCTCATGCTCCTTCCAATATTCCTATTCCTCCTCTGTTACCCCCTCGACCTCTCTTTAATCGTAGGTTGTACTAGTGGTAGAGAACTAGAAGTGGGCAGATTGTTTCCTCTATATCACATGAGCCTCCTACACTTCCAGTTACAGAAGAGACAACAAGTACTAATACAGTCCCCTTGGAGCCCCCCTTCTCGAATTACTATCAAGAAAGGTAAAAGGAAGTGTACAGCACGCTGCATTTCCAAAAACCTTTCTTATAGTTTGTTTTCTCCCTCATATTATGCCTATCTTTCTTTTATTGCCTTTAACCAAATACCCAAGTCAGTGTTAGAAGCTCTTATTGTTCTAGAATGGAGGGATGCTATGAGAACTGAAATTGATGCCTTGCATAAGAATGACACATGGGAAGTGGTTGATTTGCCTAAAGGGAAGGAACCAGTGGGCTCTAAGTGGGTTTTCACCATCAAATACCATGCTAATGGCACCATTGAAAGGTATAAAGCTAGACTGGTTTCAAAAGGTTATACACAGACATATGGGATTGATTATCTGGAGACCTTTGCTCCTGTTGCAAAGATGATATCTGTGAGGGTTCTATTATCTCTTGTTGCACATTCAAATTGGCCACTTTATCAGCTAGATGTGAAAAATGCATTTCTGAATGGAGAATTACACGAGGAAGTCTACATGTCTCTTCCATTGGGAATGTATGACATAGATATGGAGGGAAAGGTGTGCAAGTTGAAGAAGTCTCTTTATGGACTTAAACAATTTCCTAGGGCATGGTTTGAAAGGTTTAGGGCTACTCTTGTTAATTTTGGCTATAGACAAACTTAGTCTAATCATACCCTCTTTGTGAAGAGGAGAGGCTCTTTGGTGGTATATCTTATTGTTTATGTTGATAATATAGTTGTGACGGGCATTGATGTAACGGGGATTAATGATCTTAAATCTTTTCTTCATATAGAATTTGAGATCAAAGATTTAGGGGAATTGAGATACTTCCTTGGTGTAGAAGTAGCTCGGTCTAAGGATGGGATCTTTATCTCTCAAAGAAAGTATGTGCTTGACTTGCTCACTGAAATAGGCAAGATGGGTGCAAGACCAGTGGCTACTCCTATTGATACGAGTCACAAACTTTCTGCCTCAAATGGAGAATTGTTGAAGAAGTCTTCTAAAGGTTTCTTGGGAAACTGCTCTATCTTTGCATGACCCGGCTAGATATTACATTTGATGTCAGCTGCATTAGTTGGTTCATGCATGCTCCTAGGGACACTCATATGGCAGCAGTAGAACAAATTGTGTGTTATTTAAAAGGTTCTCCTAAGAAGGGAATTCTATTTGCTAAGCATGGTCATATGAAACTGGAGGTTTACACAGATGCTGATTAGGTTGGAAATATTGATGATAGGAGGTCAACTTCTAGGTACTATAGCATGGTGGCAGGTAATATTGTTTCTTGGAGAAGCAAGAAACAATCAGTTGTTGCCTGATCTTCAGCTGAAGCCGAGTACAGAGCCATGGCTCATGAAGTTTTTGAGTTGCTTTGGCTTCAATCCTTGAAGGAGGAATTGGGTGTTGAGTATGATAAGCCATTAATGTTATATTCTGATAATCAGGCTGTCATCAACATTGCTCACAATCCGGTGCAACATGACAGGACTAAACATATTGAAGTTGACAGACATTTTATCCGAGAAAGAGTGGCTTCTGGAGAAATTTGCCATTTATATCTTCTAAAGAACAATTAGCTGACATCCTTACCAAGGGAATCTCAAAGGCCAAACTTCAGCATGACTTGGCAAGCTTGGCATGATTGACATCTATGCTCAACTTGAGGGGGAGTGTAGAGAGAATGGCCCGAATGGCCCATTGACTGTTTAATATTCTTTTATTTATGTTCTTTGCTGATAATGGGCCTCAGATTGGGCCTTAATTATGTTATGTTTATACTAAAGCTTATTCGCCCAGTTAAAGGGCCTCTTTGTAATTACTGAAAATTAAGATTAATGAAAGGGAATTAGGGTGTAAGAGGAGATTACATTCGAAAATCTCTCTCTGAACCCTATCAGTCACCACCTTCTTTTTCTTCTTCTCTGTTCAGATATTTTTTTTCCTTTTTTTTTTTCGAAAACAGTCGTCCAGTCCTCCCTTTCTGTAGTTTGCACTCTTCTTCTTCTTCTTTCTCTTTTCCAAATTTCAGTCGAAAAAACAGGGGCTCCGTCAATCCTCCCTTTCTTTTTCTTTAAAAAAACAGGGGCTCCGCCCCTATACTCCTCGGTCCTCCCTTTCTCCACTCATCATCATCATCATCATCATCTCCTCAGTCCTCCATTTTCCAAATTTCCATCGCCTAGGTGCCTGGGCGCCCCATGGTCGCCTAGCCTCACCTAGTCGCCTTGACAACTATGGGTGCCTCAGAGTGGAAGCATTTGCTTGGTTGGTAGCTCTTGACAGTATTTTAACCACTGATCACTTGAAGAGAAGAGGATTTAGCTTGACAAGTTTCTGCTATCTGTGAAAATTGGATGAGGAGACAGTTTTCCATCTGTTCTCCTGCAGGGTGGCGAATTTGATTTGGAAGTTCTACTCCTTTTGAATGAATGTTCTTCAGCCATCATCCCCAGCAGAAATTTTTTCCGCATGGCCAAGAATCATGTGGATCTGCATTCCTTTTGCAGTGTGTTGGTCATTATGGAATGAGAGGAAGAGAAGATTATTTGAAAATAAATCGAAGAGTAATTGTAGGAGCAGTGGGAAATCTGGTAACAGATTGGGTGTTAGCCCTGCCAGAATTCAACTTAATAGATCAGATTTTCTAGAAAACTTTTGTAGTATTCTTGAATTGCAACCGTGTAATGTAGAATCATTTTCAGTTTGATCAGTTATATTTGATGTATTGGTGTGTCATCTTGACAACCAATCAGTCTGTAATGAAAGCTTTTTTCCTTATTCTTCAAAAAAAAAACAGTATTGTGCTGTAGTTAACCTTGGTAATTTGCAAGCATGATCTTCCAACCGTGCACATTCCCTATATTGGACCTGTTTCTCAGACATTCTTCTCTATAGAAAGACAGCCAGGATGGTTTAAAATCAGAGGAAAAGTGTTGTATAGGAGACTTGGTCTTTTTGAGTTCAAGAATTTAGAGGCCGACCTTATTCTGTTGTTACATTGGTTCTCTGCATATTCATTTTGGATCAAACGTTAGTTAATAGTCCAGATTAACATACTTCCCCCATGGGTATAACTATTCATAGCTTTCCCTCTAAATATTTAGTAAGCTTTGCCAAAGTTGAGATTTAACTGAATCAATAAACTTTTATTTTCCTGGGTATTTGGTTCGAGGTGCTTTTTTTTTCAAGAAACATGCAATTTCCCAAGGCAATAATTGAGTTTTTTTGTTGAACCCCTTGGACATTGTACGAAGTTTTGACCATCTTCAATGAGTGTATTTTGCACCTCCTTAACTGGATTAAAGGTGCAATTATAAAATATAGGAAATTAATTTTGAAACTTAATTTCCAATAGCAATTAGTTCATAGGCAACCAATCAAGGAGGAACATGAAGGGAAGACTCGAGTCTCACTGTAAAGAGGAACAAAAAAGGAATCTTTAATTATCATTCACTACTACAATAATAAGAGAACAATAAATAAGTTTATCTAGGAGGTGAACAATCCTAGTTAACATGGAAAAGGCCAATGCACTCCCATAACTAAGGTGTTAACAAAGACATGGAACTAACCCATAACTAAACTGATTTTGACAGATCAAAGACATAAATAAGAAAATTTGGGCAACAAACCCCCATGCCGGACCCTACATGAATAAAACAGAAAGAGAAAAGAAAATTCCTGTTGTATGAGGTAATTACATCCTAAGAAAAAACTGCACTGTATCTGATTAGTCTTTCAAATGCCAATTTCCCATACTATTTTATCTTTGATTCAGGAATTTTTAATCCTTCATGAAGTTATCTGGGTATTTATATTGGTATTTGCCAATGCTTTTGCAGCATAACTGATGTTAGAATCAGTCGTCAAGGGTTTGAAAAGCGTGTGGTTTCACAAGACTTGCAGCTATGGCTTTCCAACGTGAGTTGTTTTCATTAGTCTTTAATACAGTTTCTTAACTTCAATGCTTAAATGATTATTAATTTTTGTCAACCTTTTAGTATCCTTTTTCATCCTTCGATTTCAAATTGCACACAGGCACCGGCCATGGGCAAGCAGTTCACTCTCTTGGCTCGAGCTGGCAGACAGGTTGTTTTTCACTGCCAATCTCCAAGCTACTCCTTTATCTATTCTCTTGTATGATATTCAGCAAGGGAAATTGTCTGAATATAGGGGGTTCTGTAGCGATGATAAGTTTATTGCTCGCAGACATAGAATCGCTGAATGATAATATTATGTTTCTTATTTAGGTTCAAGAAATTCATCTGACGACTACACTTGATCAAGAAGGCATCAAGAAAGCATTGCAGCGAGTACTGGAACGTGTCCCTTGAGCACATCAAGTTCCACTATGTCACTAATGCTATTGGATAGCTATCAAGTTTGTCGGGATTCTATTTTTTCCATGTGCAGGTAACTAAACTGAAAGCCTGATAAAGATTATGGGAAAATGTAGCCTTTTCTTTTGTATAGAGGGACTTACTGATTCTATTGTAGTCAACTAATCATAGGGAAATTATACAACTACATGGTTCTTACCGGATTATTTCTTTAGGCTCAGTTTGGAAGGAGTACAAATACAAATATGTAGAGTGCAAAACCTTGCATTTTGTATTATTTTGTATGTATTTGTACTGTACATATTTGTATTTGTACTCTTTTCAAATTGAGCCTAATTAAGTGTTAATTTTGTTTTACCATATCCAATCAACATAACCACAAATAAATTTTAAAAATAGCATTCTATGAAATTCCTTTAACCCGAAATTTTACTTCCAGTGGAAGGGCAGTCACCGTTTCATTTTATTAATAAACCAAATTGAATCCAAAAAATAATTATATGCAAATACATACAATAAGGAACCCGGATGATCCTCAACCCAAACGCAATAAAGGAGTTTCCAAACCATGATCTCTAAGACAATTCAACGTGAGGGTAAAGTTGAGCAGTTGATTCAAGGAAAATATTGTCTCGAAATTGACAAGCGAGATTAGCCAATGGATCAGACTAATGGTGATCTGGAGATACTTGGTTCAGTTCAATTATTCGAGTTTTTCACAAGAACCTTGTAGAATCATAAGGTCATGTAAGTCAATAAAATGTTCGACGTTTCACGTTTGTGGTACCCATGTAGATTGCCCAAGAAAGACCATCCAAACATGCAATAGATTCGGCGAGGAGGTTAATTGGAGAAGGCAACAACAAAACAATTGTTTCTATCTTTGAATACTCCATCTCTATAATAATGTGGGGGTTTTATTTTGGGGCCGTTGTTTTTTCGGATTTTGAGAGGGGGAAAGTTGGCCCAAGGGATTTTGGTTCCCATTGATCAAGATTCCCCAAATAGCTGATGCCCATCTCCTAAGTGGATAAATAACTTTTTCACCTAGGGGGAAATTTGCTAACATTTGAATGGGATAAAAATGCCCCTTTTAATAATGGATTTTTATGTCTAAAATGGTCATTACTTTATTTACATGAGAAATAAAAGAACATGGGTAAATGTACTTACTCGAGTAAGTGTTTCCCAGGAAAAACTTACCCAGGTAATTGCATCTACCTGAGTAAGTAACCTACCAAAAAGCGAACGGGGCCTTGAAGCCCCATCAATGAAAAAACTAGTTTGCCTTTTTTGTGTATTACACCATTAATCCAAGTCTTTTAAGTTGTAGATAGAAATGTTTAATCTTGTTTGTTGGAGCCTTGCAGTTAAGCTAAATCGGTTTATACAAATTGGATATGAAAAGTAAGTGTGGGACAGTGGATATATATTCAAGGATAAAGAGATAAAAGCCCTGCCAACATGTGTAGTGAGATTTGTGATAAACGACAAAATTGAGGTCTTGTGGCACATTAAGAAGCAGAATCATGCAGCCTTGCAAGGCCAAAGAGAAACTTGTGGGATCTCACAAGATTAGTAATCAAACCTTGTGAGGTCGGACTAATTTCACCTAGCAAGGTGAGACCAATTTGACCTTGCGAGTCAAGCCTCACAAGGCTACACTAGTCAACTTCATGAGTCAAGCCTCATAAGCAAGGTTCTAAATATCAACACCAGCTTATCGGCCTATGTCGGTACATAATTTTCAAGTTTTATTTATTTATTTTTGAAATCGGTTTAGAGGGGTCAATTTAAGGTCCAATTACCCTTTGAACCAGTGACCGACCCGATACAACTCCTAGAGGGGCATATCGATAAGCCATCGGCATGATATGTATCAGCCAATATGAGTCGATACTTTGAACCTTGCTCATAAGGATATCCTAATGTCACCCTGCAAGGTCGGATTAGGAGCACAAAGCACAGAGGTTAACTCTATGGGTGTTAGATGCATGAGCCCTAGGGAAACCATGTCTATTTGTACCTAAGCACCACACTAACATATGTCACCCTCTAAAGAAGCCCAAGATCGTGCTCTAACAAATATGTGATTCTAAGGAACATGTGTTTTGAGGAGAGAAGTGGACAGGATTTGTTCCCCGACATTACTTGAGTTGGAGATCCAAAGTTCTTGCTTCATGCAATGTAGCCCATCCCCTCACTTCTACAAAATATGGAAACTATTTTCTGTGGAGGGATTTGAACTCATTCCATTTCGAGCAAAGTCCCATTTTCCCTTCCCCTTGGTGACATTTTCTTATCAACTTCCAAGACTGAGTCCATCCTTATTCCTATTGGCTTACATCAAGAATCTCTAGTTAGAGTTTGGTTGGAGAACATGAAGATGTTGCCGCATAGTACACAACTATCAAGAGATGAAGAGACCATGCACATCCCACCACCACCACCAGAAGATCTAGTACAACTAGATGTGTTGGTGCTGAAGGTGGAAAACCCATCCACCGAAGAAGCGGACAAAGCTATTCATGATGATAGTTGGGTCAATATGGTCCAAAGGTTGTATGAGTTATAGGACCTTTGATCAAATAGAGGAACTATGAAAATAGAGAATGGATCGGATGGAGCAAAAGCAAGATTACCTATTCTAGATTTTGCAAAGCCATTTTATAGCACCAAGAACTTATGTTGGAGAGAGATCAAAATTTCAAGAATCTCTCCTCCATCCCTTGTACTTTTGAGATTTGTCTTTTCCTTTTCCCTCTCTTGAATGCATGGGAAGACTCATTGTCCCACATTGCTTGTGAAAGGAGTAGAAATGGAGTATATCTATAACTTTGCTCTCTCTATGGATAGGGACCTATATGAGGAAAGCACTATAGATATTCCCGTGCATGTGAGGTGGGTTGGGGGTGCTTTCACACACGCGTACCAAGCCGAGCTGAGCCTAGTCGGGGCGCGGATGCATGTACGTACGTGTACACACGCGCTCCACCGAATCGGTTTTGTTTTTAACCGGATTAAACTTTTGACTCTTAAATTCAAATTTATTTTGTAAAACGTTTTCTAGTCAGTTTGTGTCTCTTCCTCTCTATGTCTCTTTGAACAGGTGCACTGTTTTAAAGAGATGTCTGCCTAAAAGGACACCTCTGTGTCCAGTCAAGTGACTGAGTACACTCTATAAAAGGAGTATTGGTCAACCAAGTATCACACACCAGTACATTTTGACAGTCTTCTCTTCTCTATCTTCTCTATTAATGTGAGCATCATTCTTTGTGGTTCACGGAGGTCTAGTAAGTGAGTGCACGCCTACCAGTGGCCTATGGGTTGTTTTATCTTAGCGACCGATTTGCAATCACCCAGCTACACTGTAGGGGGCAATTGCAGTTTTAAGGAGAGTGACCAAGTGGCATGACTCAGCCCTCCTTCTTTCTGTAAGTTCTCAGTTTCACAGTTCTGCAATACTACACCCCTACAAGTTCTCGGTTTGGAAAGTAGTTACTGATAAGTTCCAATCTACCTTCTTTATTATTTTCCAACAATCTTAAAATCGCATTTATGGAACCTATCTCTATTAATCCTTTCATTAGAAACTTGATATTGTCAATAGTTCCCAATTTCTCTAAGATTCCTTTCAATAGAACTAACTACAAACGTTGGAGACAACGCATTTTGTTTGCTTTAGAGTAGTTAGGGGCAGCTTTTGCTTTGACTGAACCGAACCCATTAAACATGGAGGAACCAACCCGTTTTGTTGTTGCAGAACACTGGACTATGGCTGACCACCTCTGCACAAATCATATCCTCAACTGCTTGTCCAATGAACTGTACAATGTCTACTCTTCCTACAATTTTGCCTATGAAATTTGGAATGCATTGAACAAGTATGCTCTGTAAAATGGTAGAAATAAAAAATATGTGATTGCCAATTTCCTGCATTTCACCATGAACAAAGGCATTGACGTGTCTACCCAAATAGATGAGTTTTAGGTGCTTGTGGGGGCACTAGCAAAGGAAGGCATGATACTACCAAATGAATTCATTGTCGGTTGTCTCATAGTTGGTTTAGGAAACAACTACAAAATTTAAAAAGAATCTGAATGTGAAAAATGATCAGAAATTCAAGAAGCAACAAAAGAAAGGAAAGTGCTACCAAGCACATATGTGGGAACTGCAGCTCCTTCTATAAGTACACAACTCAGTCTGAGGGAGAGCAAGTCTTCATGGGAAACTCACAAACTTTGAAAGTCATCGACAAAGGAAAGGTGCTCCTAAAATTAACTTTGGGAAAAATCCTGATGCTGAATGATGTGTGCATGTGCCAAAGATAAGATGAAATTTGGTGTCGGGAGCACTCCTCAACAAAGTAGGACTAAAGCTCATAGTTGAAGCAGAGGAGGAAAAAGATATTATATAAGTTTCACAGATGACTTTTCTATATATGAAAAAGTAGTCCTACTTAGATCAAAATATGAAGGTGAACAAGTTTTTACAAACTAGAAGACTGAAGTAGAAAATTAGTTAGGAAAAAAAATAAAAAGACTTAGAACAAATAGAGGGACTGAGTATGATGGAAAAACCATTAGGAAATTCTTTGAGGAAAAAGGGAATTATACATGAAACTATAACCTCTTATCAACCTGAATCTAATGGAGTTGCAGAAAGACTTAACAGAACACTAAAAGAAATGATGAATGTTATGCTAATTAGTTTAAGTGCACCTCTGAACTTGTGGGGGGAAGCAATCCTAACAGCTTGCCATTTATATAATAGAATACCACCCAAGAAAAAATGACAAATACCTTTTGAACTATGGCATAACAGGAAACCAACTCTAAACTACCAAAAAGTTTGGGGTTGCTTAGCAAAGGTTAGAACACATGAACCTAAAAGAAAGATATTGGGACCAAAAACCTGTGACTGTGTGTTCATTGGAACAAAATAGTGTGGCTTATCGGTTCCTTATAATTAAAACAATTGATAATGTTGTAGAAAAGAACACAATAATAGAGTCCCGAGATGCAGAATTCTTTGAGCACATTTTTCCATGGAGAAAAGAAACAATAAATATGGAACCCTCCCAATCCAAAACAAAAACCAAGAACAATTGAGTACTTCACTTAGTCAAGGCAACATTGATTCTAGGAATCAAGAACTAGACTTAAGGAGAAGTAAAAGACAAAGGAAATAAACAAACT